CTATAGTTTTACTATATTCAACCATGGTGATGAAAGTTAATTTCACTCATGATTTGTCTTCTAGCATATAAAAGAGACTGTATGGATGTGTTGACAGGGTATGAAAAAAAACTAACAATTAAAGATACAATACAGAGGCAATTACAGAACGTACCATATTTACAATGAATCGTGAAAAAAGTGAATTCTGTTCAGTATCAAAAAGTAAATCTGATTGCTTTGTCCCCCAGTCAGTGAGCTTTTGTGGTTTGTGTCCAGCCATCACAAGGCTGCTAGTGTGGTTACACTTTTAATTTTGTTCCAACTCAGATGCAGCTCAGGCTGTCTCTGCAGGACAGTGCAAAATGTCAAAATAAGTGCAATGAGTGAAAATTGACTTTAACCCAACAGATAACAGTCATTAGCTTGTATAAGTCACTCTAGGCTTAGCTGTAGACTAAAGAGCAACTGATGGGAACAAGCAAAAAAACATACAAAAAAACTCTGGCAGAGTCCTGTGGTGTCTGGCATCGGGATGTTGACAGCAGATCCTTTGTGTCCTGTTGGTTGTGGGGTAGGATTGGGCTTGTTCTTGTGCATCCCGGATGCTTGACAAGATTGGGATCTGAGGAGTCTGGAGGCTAGGTCAATGCCTTGGGTTCTTTGTTATATTCGTCAAGCCATTCAAAGCATAAAGCATTTTAAAGAAGCCTCCATGTTTAAACACTGACCTTTGAAGGCAATTTAGTGTATTGCCTGATGGAAGAAGACATGTTGGGGGGCTATACAGACTTTTACAGTGGGGCACAATGCCCCAGGCATAATCTGCTTCTCATTCAGACAAGCCAGACAGGCAACCAGTAGTCTGATTCTGATTCAGAAGGCATTTGTGGAGGCCTTGATCTTCAGCTAACACCAACTGGGTCAGAGTGGTAGTCTTTTAACCAAGTCCCATTACAGTACCACAACTCGGCGGGGAGTGCTGGGCTGGTTGTTGGATTCTGTTTGCTCAAATTACACAAGTATAGTGGAAAGCACTACCAGTGAAACTATAAGTAGGCAATCTAACCCCACAAATAACTCTGGGACCCTCTCAGTGACACTGTTCAATACAGTGTGGTATGTGGTTGTGTGGAGAATAAACTGTGTAATAAATGATGTGAGAAATCAAAACTAAGTCTATATTTAATAATGGTTGTGGGTTATAGTGTATGCACTTCTTTCTAATTGCTCAAAGCAGGCAACAGTTCATGTAAATATGGTGCTCACAATTATACATCATTTTATGGATTCTTTGACAACCAATGCAAGAAATATTTGTTTACTCTTTCAAACCAAGCGATCAGCTGAAGCATGTACTGTTTGGAATCTGAATCTACTTTTGTCACATCTGTAGTATTTTGCAAAGTTTAAACAAGGATAATGATTCACCATTTCTCTCTGTGCCTCCTTGAGGTCCACAAAAGCATCGTCTTCAGCCACATCTCTCTCTGCCCTGCTCGCTTTTATCCAGTCATCAGTTAAACACTCAGAAAAGGCCCAGCCAATGACACATTATTTAGTCATGAGAGTTGTAGCCGCAGCCTGATAAAGGAAACTTGCTGAGCTCTACACTTCCTAGCTCCTAATACAAAAGAGAAAATCAAACTCATAAATGGATCGTTCTGTAACAATCCAGAAGCCTGAGGTACAGAATACAACCAAGTATCACTTCAACATCACTATACCATATCACTTAAATGTTGCTTACAATTATTGATTACTTTTAGGTTGGACAGAAGGGTATTTAATTCTAAGTAAATTTAAAACCTAATAGTTCAGACTTACAACCTAATAGTTCAAACTAACTTTAATAAAAATACAGATCCCACAGTAGAAACTCAATGCAACAAAAGTCAGAACTTTACTGTGTACTTTACATACTTTACGTTACCGAGATTCACATTTTAAAAAAAAAAACAAAAAAAAACAAAAAACAACTTTGAAAGTAGTTTGTATGTTGTTTTTGGACAGATTGATGGATGCAAAATTTCTGGAGAGATGTTCTGCCACAGAGTTGATTTCTTCAGATTGTTTTGCTGGCAGGGTTGTGTTGCTCTGCCTTTTTCTTTAAAATATCCCTACAATGTTCTATTAGGTTCAAGCCAGACGACATGCAGACGTTTTTAGAGCAACATTGTTCACAGCTATTTCATAGTCATGTTCATGAAATTGGACTGACAGGAAATAACAGGTGTGGTCAAAAAGGCATTACTGCTTACTGGAGCGAAGTTTGTCAAAGCATGGATCAGCTTCTCAAAGTCTGGTACATACACTGGGACTGGATCAAATTCACTGCTGATCTCAGCACAGGAGAACTAGAGGAGCACTGGTTGGACCAAAAATAATAACCAGGGTTTCCAGTGTACTGAAGACGCTGTGGTCAGCTGGGCCTTAGTTGACCCTCTGCTTGACTTCAGGGAAGTATCAGGGAAGATGTTTATCAAACTGCAGTAGGGCAGCTCAGTTGGAAGCAGGTATCGTGGTCGGAAAGTTCACCAGTGACATCCAACATTCACGGCTCCCTCTAGTCTACAGCTCTAACCCAGCCGCTGTTTGACAGACAGCAGAGTAGAGTCTACTGTCGACTGCTGGATGGGCAGACTTCTACCACTCTAGGGCGCCGCGATAGCTCAACTGGTTGAGCTGGCGGTCCATGTTCAGGTGCAGAGGTCATGGGTTCGAGTCCCACTCATGACCTTTCCTGCAGGTCCTTCCCCCATTCTTATCCCCCACTTTCCTGTCTCTCTCTACTTTCCAATCGAATAAAGCGAAAAAGGCCAAAAAAATAACTTAAAAAAACAAAAAAACAAAAACGTTTCCTACACATCTCTACTTTGCACTGTTAAATTTAGACAAAAACGCCTAAAAGTAATTGTAAGAAAAACAAAGCTGATCTTCCAAAAAACCCCTAAAATATTCTTTTAAACTTTTACAGGCTGTGATGACTGTTGTCATGTTGAACTCCCAGTGTTTACAATAGCTTCCATTGGTGACACAGTTTAATGGTGGAGGAAAAATAATATTTGTATTTATGCCAAAATGTGTCTAAATACATGACTTATTTCACAGTCTTAACTCTTGACCCTATCAGGCAAAATGCAAGTAAGTTATGGCTAAAACTGTCAAGTTCAGTTGGTAAAGGTGTTCAGAGATGACCAGACAGGTTCTGGTCTGTGTTGGCAGCCTGACGTGCTGTTCTAGAGTCCAGTAGATGGTTTATCATGCTGTCAAGCCATGTGCTCGTAACAGGCTGTCTGACAATCTGTAAAGTGTTAATGAATCCAAGCACATCTTTTAAGAGGAAGGCTTACTGCCTATTATAGGCTACTGTGGGCCAGCATGTTGTTTCTTTGCAAGAAAGCCTTTTTGCATGTCTTAGACAAGCATATCGCTTTCTCTTTGAAGACAGAATATTTATAATATAATGCAGAGTTTAACAGTGTGGTGGCGGCCTGTAGGTCAAGCTGTATCCTGTTAAAGCACCAGTCTCAACCATACTAAAGGTTTTCTTTCCAGCAAGAACATCCAAAATGCCTGAGGCTATGAAAAGTGCACATCAATGCAATCAGTGAAAACAGCAACAACTTACATCACCCGTACACAATGTGAAAACATGGAAACATGGAAATGAAGGGGATGACTCACTGGCCATTTAAGCCCTCACAGACGGGGGAAGAAAGGAACATCTGACTGACAGTAAATGAGGAGAGGATCGATTCATTGGTTTAACAGCTCCAACCCATGCATATATAAGGAACTGCTTCAGGTCACACCTACAGCGTCATGCATACAATTGGTCACATGCCTTTTGAAGAGGTGGGCATAAAGGCAAGAGTTGTTATTGCTGAGACCCAAACTGCTCATTGAGAGGAGAGTGCTACTCACTGCTACAGCGGGAGCCGTACAGGGAGAAAACCCACATACTGAAGATAATTACCTCACCACACATAAGTAGATGCAATTAGAATGATGGGAAGGGGAGGACTTTACATTTAGTCATGCATCGCACTTAGCTCAGAATGTGGCATCAGCTGTCTCTGACATGCCTTGGTTACAGTGTCCAGGCTTTCAGTATTACAGTAAGCAATATTTTATAAACCCTGATAAGGGGAAGGAGACCTGCTATGTTCCATAACACTATATGAGTAGCATAAACGTACTAAATAACTTCTGGGCAGCTCTGAAGATATCTTTTGTTTGAAGGCTTTTAGCAAAATCACTTATACTTTATAGAATATCTGAGCTACAAAATACTGTTAGTTTGCATGTCAGTGGTATTTTACATGTTCTAAGACAGTAGGAAAAAAAAGTTTAATGCAATTTAAAACAGTTGATGTTTATGCTAGTATGCCTCTAGATTCAGGGCAATAATTGGTTGATTCACAAAAATCCTTAGCAATGTCAAACAAACACTGAAGCTAATATCCAAGGGTTTTGTCCTTTGGTCTGATAACGTTTTATAACTGCAGTTCCTATAATGCTAGGAAATATGTCAGTAGGTTCGCTTTGGGCTAAATATTTAGCCTAGATTTACTTACATTTTCGAAAATTAGCAGTCTTAAAACTAATTAAAATAGGACTATTTCCAATACTAAATAAATAGTCCAAATGAGATAATTATGAGGAAAGATCTCAAGTCTTAATTCGTGTCTTCTTTCTATGATTTCTAAGTGAGATCTTATATCGTGAGAAAGTTCAAGTGAAGTTAAACATATGGTGTCGAACTTCTGTGAACTCTGTTGACTCGTGCTTTTGACCTATGGGAGGCAAAGTTTGAAAACCACGGCTCTGGAACATTTAGAAAGAGGCTGTTTGAGCTTTACTACAAAGTGTGAATGTATTTGCATTACACATGAAAAAGATCAGCCTTGGAAAACCAGCTCCTACCTTTGGGAGTAAAAGATCCCAACTGAATCTCATCAAATACAATATGTCAACATGGACCTCCAAAAAGACACACACAAATGACACACACTCACCTGAACTGTAGAGCTGATTTCAGCAGCAAAGCCTCCTGTTATTGGTGCCTCGTGACTGACAAGCAGACGGCCGGTTTTCACTACCGACTGAAAAACAACAGAGCGAGAGAGAGAATTAAATGAGAAATACATCTCCAAACTTGAACAAACCTTATAATAATCTCAACCAGACGACAGGCAAATGAGTGGAATTACGACTTATGGTGATGAATTTAAATATACAACACTTTATCATCTCATTCTATTCCCGTGTGCTACATGGAAGCTAAACTCATTCAGGGAGTGCGATAATTACATTTAACAGTTACTGGATGACGGAAAAAACGACAAAGATTTTATATACATGCAACAACTTCCTCTAATCCAAGAAGGTCACAGCTTACATTGTACACTTAAACACAAAGGTCTGTGTGGGTTTGTGTGTACTATGAATGTATGAGATGCTGTGCAGAGGTGAGAGTCTAACTCCTGGAGGTGCCACTCTTGAGGCTGAATGTGGGCCAGGAGACGGGTGTTACCAAGTAAGAGTGGTTCACATACTGCCTGCTGTGGTATGCTATATCTGCTTACTTTCCCTGGGGTGTGTGTGTGTGTGTGTGTGTGTGTGTGTGTGTGTGTGTGTGCATGCATAAAATGGATATGACACAACAGTATGAGGGCTGATTTAGGCTGGTACACAGGGCCAACGGGACAATCATGGACATTAGAGGTCTAAGCCTCCCAGGCATTTGCATTTGGGTTTTCTGTAACCTGACATTACTGCAGAAGGATGCCTCTGCTCCACCCGTTATCTACCGCAGCATAAAACCAATACTATACTATAATCTCATCCGTTTGCCACCGGTCCAGACCAAAGCTATGTCTGTTCTCTGCAACTTCAGCAAACCTTTCCTCTCCTCTATCCAGTTGTAGTTGTGTTGATAAATGAGGCAAACACCTCTGTCACTCAGTACCAGTAGTGATGAGCAGATTTCTGCCTGTGTTACTTTGAGATTTACAACTTTAGATAAGATTTAAGAGAAATGCGTCGAGCCCAGTCTGTCGGTAGAATCTCTGGTCCATGTTTTAGACTGTGCATACATTTTTCACTGAAATAACGGCACTGCACAATGCACTCTTCATTTAAGCACAGCTGGGTGAACATCACATACCACCCCATCCCTCAAAGCCACAAACCAAACCAAACGGTCATAACCTGCTGAAAATAAGCATCACATGTGCATTAAAGCACACACACACAGACAGGGGCATTCTGGGGCTTCATGCTAATGCTAAACAGGCAAGTGTTTACATTGCTGAGGTCCAGGGTTTGGCTGTGAAGCATCAAATATCTGTGGCAAACTGTGCCACTATCACTCACTAGCATTGAAGGCTAAATGAGTCAACACTATGTCACTAATGCCAGCATGTCTCAGTAGATCGTGGAAACACTGTATTGTAGGGTGGTCTATGTGGAAGAATGCAAAGATTAGTATAGTAAAGATCAATTCAATGTTGCAGGTCAATGTACTGAGGAGGCATATTTAGCAATCCTTAACTATGAGAGGTAAATGAGTTCAGTGCACAAATTTCACTGAATATATGACACTATCTTCAGGAATGTGGAGGTTAATAACAACACTGGAAGACAATAACAACTGCTGGCACTCTGCACAGTGAGGAGGAATCAGGCGAGGGGCTGAGAGTTGGGCGATGTCTTCATATGACATGTTGCTGTTAGGTTTGTGATGACTCATACAGGTCTGGTGAATAAACAGAGCTGCTTCCCAATCTTCTGCCCCGCCCCGATGCTAACCCCATTCCTCGGCTTACGCAAACATGTACACAAAGACTATGCGGACATAACTTTCAATTTACACTGTGACACCAGCATTGCCCTGAGCTCCCTGTTGGTCATGTCCCCGAGGGGACACCCATCATAGTACTCGCTGCATCAGGAGTGCATTCTTCAGATGCTTTTCACACAAAAGGAGCCTGCCACTGTTTTTACAATATCGTGGGATAGAATTTCAGACACTGGGGGCTGGGGGAAACTCGTGACCCATTTAATAGACTTGTACCAAATCTGTGCGGCTTGAGCACAAGTGACAGTTGCTGGCAAAGTGTCCGCTAACTGGCATGAGCTAACTTAGTTCAGGCTACTCTCAAAGTAGTCTTGCATGCCAGTGCATAATATGACAATATACTTGAAAAATGGTAAAATGTGGTAATGTCTGGGACAGCAAAGTGGCAGCGGGTGCACTGGTATGGTAGGTAATGCAGTTTATACAATGATTTGAAGTCACCACTTTACAGTCACACGAAAAAAATGAAAGAAGAAAATTTGCACTGCTGCAATCAAACAAAGAAATTTCTTGCTGCAGCTGAATGTATTGAACACTGTCTAATCAACTTTGGGTGTATCACTCCAAAAAGTCTATTTCTCTCCATTTTAATACAACAACTGCCTGTGCTGGACTTGCTGCACATGTCTATTCCATCTGGATGCAGATGGCGTAGGTTTATATTTATAGTGCAGCTACAGATTCCTCCTCTTGATGCTTCGGGAGAACCTCCACCTTGTGTTATTCCTGAATATTTAAAGTCTGCACAAAATGTCATGATAATGCATTAGATACAGATTTAAATCCAGACCAACACAGAGACTCAACCAGCTGATCCACAGACCAGCACTGCCATCCACTGAAAAGTATAAAATTCATGTGAAAGATAAAAAACAAGTAATTTTACATTCTCTGCAGAGACCTTTTTGGATTCGCATTTCTTTCCCCCTGCTTCAACGTGCCACACTCACCGTCCACACAGAAGGGAAAATGTAAAAGCTTCTGTTGTCACATTCTGACCTATCCATGGCCAGCCTTGCACCTCAGCTGTCCAACTCATTCAACTCACCTCACCGCCTGAGGTTCAATTACACACAATTTCAAGAGACATTAAAAAGACACACACAGACTCTTGTCGTTTTTACATCTCTGACAGGACACTGTGACAGCACTCCAACTTCAACATAGTAATTGTGGCTGTAGCCTTTAACCCAGTTGCTTCCGGTTGCTGGAAGGGTTTTCAGGAGACAGAACCATCCACTCTCATCATGCGGTTTGACCCTTTTCTCTAAAGTCATCCAGTCCTCTTATTTGCCCATGACAGCCACCTTTCATGTCGGTAAAATGGGGGCAAAGCTGCTACATTTAAGACAGCGGTGGAGCCAGAGGAAGTACATTGGACACTGTAAGAAGATGATCAGTTAGAGGCATCCAAGGGGAGAAATTATATGCCTTCAGTGAAGAAAGGAACGGTTAAACACGTCATGAATCTTTCAATATAACCTCAGGAAGACATGCTGGCAGGGGGACCTCTTTGTTATGGTTACACCATGGACACGTGCCTGATGAGTTTATTACCAAGCGCCTCATGTCCTGCGAATTAAACAGCAGCCTATTAGTAAAATAAGAGCAGTTCGATACTGTACTGTGCACCAACACTAAGGTAGAAAGAGACAGAAAAACAACAGGGAAGGCAAACGCATAAGGTGAGGCAAGGATGGGGAAAGAATCTGAAGCTGAACAGGTCCTTAATGTGGGTTTGGTTTGGAACGGATCTTGCTCTGCTGATGACACTGAACCCTTGTAAAAACTAATCAAAGTCAAAGGGAATTTCAAATGTGAAACAACAGGCTTGAGGTAATGAGAGATGACAAATGAAAATAAATGTAAACACTGGAATTGAGAAACTGAGCAGCAAAGGACGTTTCAGTTGTTACAATGCAAAAAATCCTATTTTTGTCACTTCTTTTCCCACATTTTCGACCTGCTCGTTATTTTATGTACTGCACAATGTTCTTGAACCGAGACATGCATCAATTTTGAATCTTTCCTAACATTGTCTGGCTTCTGCGAAAAACCAACAATCTCTAAAGAAGTCAGGCTATAAATTAGTAAACTGTCATTTACTATAAGAATTTTCCCAGACAATAATTACATGACAAAACAATATACACCCGGAGCGGCGCTTGATTTAAGTGTCAGGTAGCACACTATGGCATCACTTCAGTGACACCAGTTTCATCTCAGAGGTGGGTGGACGTTTGCCAGCGTACGACTGGGTAGACAAACTTGCCATGTCTCATACAGCACCTGACTTTGTGCTAACAAAAATAAATTGGTAATTGGATTCCATTTAGTAAGAAAATACAGTAAATTGAGGACTCTTTTCCTACTTGATGGAATATTTGATATTTGCATCAAGACACAGTCTCGTTCTGCAAAGATGGGAGTTGGATATGTCCTGCTGCCTGCCCTGACTGGCTCCGAGTCAAATCGAGGGCTCCTGGTTGGTGGCGGCTGGTGGTAGCTGGGCTGGGCAACAGTTCTGGTGGCTACAACTTTACTACTCATTGTGCTGCAGGGCTGTTATTTGATGCCGGAGTCGTTCCGCTGGCTGCACGGGAAATGTCATGTTTACTGCCATTCCCATACACACCCAAACCTAATGAGCAGCGTGGAGCTCGTCCTCAGCATTTTCCCTATCCTCACTGCTTGGATCCGTCTCTTCCTGCATAAGACTCCTTCCTGACTCCGTTGTTCCCCCTGCGGTCCGTCTCATCTTCGTCACCCATTTTTCTCGTGACTCCTCCCATCATCCATCCATCCCTCAAACCGTCCATTTGTCCCGCTCTGTTTTCATGAAGCCTGTTCGCTTGGTCGCGGCGCCCTCCCCACTATGCGGCCTCACCACTCGGAGGCTGGCGGCCAATGACCTGGCATGGCCTCAGAGAGTAAGGTCAGTTCTGTCACTCTCCCATGGCATATAAACTCACTCACACACACATGGGCTGATGGAGCGGCCCCACAGAGGCATGTGAACACGCACACCACATGGCCGCATACGCATGTGGATAAACTGTGTGCAAGTACGCATGCAGGCACACACTGCTTTTGACATACTGCTCATTCAGGATTGATTGATTTCCATTTTCTGACATGCATACAGGAAAGAACTTCCAGAAAGACAGCGGGATATGTATACAGTAAGTAGTTATCTTAGAGCACTGACTCATTCTTGAAGGGACAGTGTACAGACAGAAGTGA